TTGTTTTAGCGGTTTTGAGCTGCTAAATCTGTCATCATTTGAAAACTTAGAACCTTAAGCAGTGTTAAAGAATTTTTGTATTGATGTGTAACCTTTTTTCTATTTTAAACATATTTTTATCTGCACATTTATACAAAGACATGTATTATGCAAAAGCGTTGATGTCAAAATTAATATAACTAGTATTTTTTACTTGTTAGTAAAAATTTGCTTCTTTAACTACAACGTTTCATATCCAGTATTTCAATTTAATATTAATAAGCATTCGCTTTATGTTTTGGCACAAATTCAAAGCTCTCTGGTACTGGTCCTAACAGCATCTCACTCAAACGTACCCAATCAGCAGAATTTGGCGAACTCATCAAAGTTTCCATTTCATCTCGTCCTCGAAATTTTTGTGGACGTTGATTAATCTGTTGTGGTGGATGTGCTAAGAGCTCATAAGGTATGTAGCGATAGAGGAATGATTGCCATTCCAGCAAGAAGCGCCGGGTATTCTCTACACCTTTCGTGTCGGAGCCCCAGTGCTCTAAGCCGTAGTTGACATAAGTACGCAGGATTTCGAAGCGTTCTGCAGATGTGGGATTCCATGGTTTTTGTTCTTTAATCTCCTTAAAGATCCACGGCTTAATAAGCGCGCCGCGCCCAATCATTATCGAGGAGACGTGTGGTGCAATTTTCTAAAAACAAAAATGATGGAACATTAATATAAGATGGTTAAATGAATGAACAAGCATCTACTTACCCTCTTCTCATTAAAATCTTCAAAATTTAGAATATCGCCATTCCCAATTATCGGCATACGCTGTGCTTTAGCTGCACACTCTTCTATATACTGCCAGTTGGCACTCTTCGTGTACCGTTGTTCGCGTGAACGTCCATGCAACTATTTTAAAATAGAAGATATACTTAACTAAGTGCTAATTAACAGTTAATCACCCAAAATACCAACCGTCACAGCACTTGCGCCCCACTCCTCCACCAACGGCACTAACTCGTGCGCCACACTCTTATCCGCATACACACCAGTACGCATTTTTACAGTGAATGGTATTTGCGGCGATAGAGACGAGCAGGAACGCACAATTGTCTCTA